GAATTGACGCCTTTGAATTATGGTGTTGGTGAAGAATATTGAATATACCATGGACTGCCAGAAGAATGAACAAATCTGTCTTGGAAGAAGTATAGTCAGAATGCTCATTAGAAGCAGGGATGGCAAGACTTCGTCTCCATACTTTGGACGTATTATCAGTAGGGACCAGTCTTTGGAGAAAAACATCATGCTTTGTAGAGTAGAGGATCATCAAAAAAGAGGAAGGCTCTCAATAAGATGGACTGACACAGTGGCTGGGACAAGGGACTCAAGCCTTATGCGGATGGTGCAGAACCGGGCAGTGTTTTGTTTAGGGTTACTACGAGCTGGAACTGACTCGATGGCACCTAGCAACAACAATCCTCCAAAAATTTTAAACTGATTTACATTCCTACACACAGTGTATGAGTGCCGGTTTCCTTGTATCCTCACACTTTACATGTTACCAAACTTAAAAATATTTGCCAGTATTAGCAGAGAAAAGTAATGTCTCATTGTTGTTTTAATTTGTATTTGTTTGATTATAAGTGAGGTTGAAGACTTTTCACATGTTTTGGGGCCGTAGGTATTACTATTTCAGTAAATTTTATCTCATTGTCCTTGGCCTGTTTGTCTTGTTCAGGTAAGTGAAATCCTTATTTATTTGCAAAATCTTATTTGTTGGAAAAGACTCTTTGATCACTAAAAGTATTTGCCCTTTGTTCTAAATATGTGTTGTAAATAGTTTTTTCTATTTTCAAAAACTTACTAGAAGGATTTATCTGGAAACTTATTGAACCACTGCAATTTGTTCACTGACCATAATACTTGATTTCTATATTCTTTTTTATTTGATTCTTATTTAGATAACATCTATAAAACAATATGGAGCCCTGGTGGCTCAGTGGTTAAGAGCTATGGCTGCTAACCAAAAGGTCGGCAGTTAAAGTCTACCAGCTACTGCTTGGAAACCCTATGGGGCAGTTCTACTCTGTCCTATATGGTCGCTATGAGTTGGAACCAACTCCATGGCAACGGATATAAAATAATATACTTATAAACGCAGATATATTATACGTTTATTTATGTGTTCTGCTTCTGAAATGAGTTTTTGTAAGGTCATTCATGAGTCTCAAATGACATCTGTTTAGGTAAAACGTGCTGTAAACTTTAACGTCTCACATCAATGAGTATGATTAGTGTTTATTCGTAGGCTATGCATCACTCTTAGAGGAATCGCTCTAGTTCTAATTTCACTGAGTCTCAGTGAGATGCTGTTATCATTTTGTAGATACTTGGAAGCCAATTTTACCTCCTCCAAAGGGTAATCGGTGTGGTTTCATTTTTAGTTTGAATATAATTTAAAGAATACCATATTCCATGTATTAATATTTACTATATTTCAGTAACTTTACCAATCCAAGCTAAAAATAAAAATTACAAATCAAGTGGAAAAGACAAAAATAACATACTGTTTTGGATTATCCTTAAAAAATTCTATTAAAATAGAAAAAAATTAGACTTTACATTTCTTCTTTCCTTGCAAAGCTAACTAAATCTCATTTTAATTTAAAGATAAAAGGGTGTTGAAAAGCTGTTCATTTTTGCGTTACATTGGCAAATTTGACCTTTTTGCCCACCAAACACAGAAATATTTTACCATAGTAATAAAAGGTCAAAACTTGAGGATAAAACTATGGCTCCAGCCAGAAACCAAGAAAACAACCCAAGGGTTCTGAATCCCAAACATCGGATGTTATTCCTTGATTTCCTCTAAGAGTATATGACCCTATTCTCTTCTGCAGTGCCAGTTAATCACCCAAAGGAGCATGCAGTCCCTATGATATAAACAAGAAAATCATGTTATGCCAACTTTCAGGTGCCATCTTTGATGCTAAGAAATTAGTCCTTTGTTTTTTCCATCTGGGACTATAAGAGTTTCCAAATCTGCATCAGTAATCTTCTGGGCTCAGCAGGAACTCCTTGCTTTGAGGCTTTGATTGGTAGCTCCTGAAGCCTCCTGAAAAACCTAATGCTCTTTTCTATTACAATTGCCTCTTATCGCTGTAATTTAACTACCCTACAGCAATTACTCCATTTTACCGTTTTTCTGAGGTATACCGTTACTCTGTCACATTGATCCAAATATATAGGAAAGTGAAATCACATGGCTTTTACAACTCTTTTATCTTCAGGAAGAATACGCATAGAGGAGAGTTCAAGGCTTGATTCTAGCCTGTTTCTTGACAAGTTAAGATCTTTGTAATCACTTTTATTTCATTTCTGGTTCCTTAACCTTATATCACCTTATTGTTACTTTCTACGCAAATTAACTGCACAGTTTTCCATAAAATCCCAAATAACAGATCTAAACCAGAGGAAAAACATCAAAACGTATTTTCCCTATTTTCCATATGAAAGTCGAAACCAGGTAAACCTAAATGACTAGAGACAATGAAGAAAATTTCCTTCCTTTTATTTTGGTACAGTGTATTTGGATGTGTAAAATGAATTTACTACAAGACCTTAAAAGTTTAGAAGTTTTTATCAAAGATTTAAAACAGTTTTTTGTTTGAAAATTCAAAATATTTGTGACAGGAATTTAAGTCCTGCTCTGCCTTTATTTTTTTCCAGATTATCAGATGAATATACTATTTAAGAGAAGCCCTGAATTCTGTAGATCATTTAGAAATCTAGGTATTTTGTAATATCTGTTTAACAATTTTAATCTTGTTATTTATGCTTCATAACCAACACCACCAAGGGTTTGAGGTGTTTCTTTCCGTACCTGTTGTTCTGCTGTTTTCATCCTGTCTCCTTTTTCTCTGTTATTTATCACCTTAATATCTATTATTCCAATTATGTGTCATTTTTTATGAATCCAGCTCTTGTTATTCTTCTTAGCTATATTAGTGTCAATCTTTGTTATATTCTTTTTTAAAATTACTCTTTATTGACCATATTTTCCTTTTCTCTCTCTCCAGTCTTCCCTATTGCCATGCACCTCTCTTCTGCAAGCTAGTCACATTGTTTTGATATTTCTAAAAGGCAAACAAAAGATAAAACATATCCAACGTTACCATTTTATAGCTCAACAGAATATTCTACCTGACCCCGGTAATCTAGACTGAAGAAGTCTATTACTTACAAAGAAACGAATGGTAGAGATCTGAGTTGACAACATTTCCTGGGATAAAAGAACTGGAATATTTAGTAGATGCAATTATATCCTAAGAAAAAAATAATAACATTGACACCATGAAGTAAATGCATACTTATGCCATATCAATAAGATTATAATAGTCTGGTGCACGGTAAGCAGTAATTTCCCTATACTTGGTGTTTTTCAAGTAACATCTGGAGTACTGAACTTTGGTTGTCACATTTTCAGAAAGTCATTGTCAATACTGAGAGCCTGAGAGTGTATGAAGAATAGTTAAAGGAAATTAAATGCCGTGGCCTAAAGAAAATTTAGTTGAGATGTGGTAACTACCTTTAAATATTTTAATGTCTGTCAGCTGAAGAAGGATTAGATGTGATGTGTATTTAATTAAGCTAAAATACTTTGACTTATGAATCACAGGGAGAAAATTTCTACTTACTAAAAGATGAACATTATAAGTCAGAATTTTTCAACAGTGAAATAGTCTGCATTAAGCAGTACTGGGGTATTTGAGCAAATTACAATTTATATAGCTGGGGCAGAAGATATGGTAATATTGGACGAGTTGTTAGACCTGATGGCTTATATTTCCTTAAAAATCTTGATATTCAATGGTTTTCCAAAAATATAGATTAAAAATTCATTTTATTCTTCCAGCTGTACAGATGATGTGAAAGGAAGACAATGGAAAGATCCAATGATAGTTCAGAGTATGGCTTTATCTTGGTGGGCTTCTCTGATTGCCCCAAGCTGGAGATGATCCTCTTCATAGTAAATTTTACTCTGTATTCAGTGACTGTGTTAGGAAATTCAACCATCATCCTTGTGTGTATATTAGACCTCCGACTTCATACCCCAATGTACTTTTTTCTGGCGAATCTTTCCTTTCTAGATCTCTGCTTCAGTACTAGTTGCATTCCACAGATGCTGGTAAACCTCTGGGGCCCTGATAAGACTATAAGTTATGCAGGCTGTGTTGTCCAACTTTTCTCTTCCCTGTCTGTTGGGGGAATCAAGTGCATTCTTTTGGCTATCACGGCCTATGACCGCTATGCTGCAGTCTGCAACCCCTGCACTATATGGTCATTATGCACCCCCAGCTGTGTTTAAGACTGATGGCTGTGGCCTGGGGGAGTGGCCTGGTCAATGCCATTGTCATGTCCCCATTCACAATGACTCTCTCCAGATGCGGCGGGTGCTGTGAAATGCCAGCACTGATCAAGATGGCTTGTGTGGATGCTCGTGCAGTGGAAATGCTGGCCTTTACCTTTGCCATTCTCATTGTTCTGCTACCCCTCATTCTTATTCTTGTCTCCTATGGCTACATTGCTGCTGCTGTGCTGAGGATCAAGTCAGCTGCCGGTCGATGGAAGGCCTTCAATACCTGTAGCTCCCACCTCACAGTGGTCTCCCTGTTCTATGGGAGCATTATCTATATGTATATGCAGCCAGGAAACAGCTCTTCCCAAGACCAAGGCAAGTTTCTCACTCTGTTCTACAACCTGGTGACTCCCATGTTGAATCCACTCGTCTACACATTAAGGAATAAAGAAGTGAACGGGGCACTGAAGAAAGTTTTGGGGAGGCAACAATGAACAGGAGAGGTGTAATAAGTTAGGAAAATCCTAGGTAAAAAATTTTTTCGAACACTACCATTTGTTTTGTGCTTTTAATAAATCCAACCAATGTATCAAACACTCTTGGATTTTTTTTTTTTTAATATAGATAAATAGGCTGAAGTGTATTTAAACAGAGGAATTACATTCAGAGTCAACATGAATCAACCATAGCTACATATAATATGGATGGATTTCAGCAAAATAATATTTAGTAAAAGACTTAAGTCCCAGAAGAAAGGTAAAATAATGACTCTCATGTAGATATAAAAAGAAAATGTGATAAAGATTTTATTGAACTCAATGAGAGAACCATACAGATGTTATAAGCATTAAAAAAAAAGTCAAGAAAGCACAAATTTATATGGAGTAAAGGAATCTTGAAATCAATGTTCAAATCTTGAAATCAATTCAAACTCTCTCTGACAGAACAGAATTTGCATGTCATAGACAAGAATTATTTTGCATTGCTCTAAGTTACCTATAATTTACAAAGTTGTAAAACACCTGCCACAGAATTAGAGTCAGAAAACCTGGAAGGGTGTTCTCTAGAGTCTAGGCAAGGTATAATTTTCCAGCAAAGCACAACTTTTTCCTACAGATTAAACCATATACCTTATTTATGTTATAAAACAAAGTATATAGTTTCAAGCCTCTTAATAAAAGGACGTAGGTATTTTTATCCTGATTTTTTAAATGGTGAAATTATGGCTTATAGAGCCTACATAACTTAGCCCAGGTCACACAGTAAACAAATGGGATTCAAAATCAGTATGTATGATGCCTGAACCTCTGCCATCATCCACTGAATAACACTGCCTTTGCCATAAAAGTGTAGAGTGCATATTCAGGTCACCTAATGATCAGCCCTAGAGGGCAGCGCTGGTTTAGTGTTAGAATTTTTTGCTTCCCAATGTAGGAGGCCCGGGTTTGATTCCAGGTCAATGCACCTCAAGCACAGCCACCACTGGTCTGTCACTGGAGGCTTGTATGTCGCTATAATTCTGAACAGGTTTCAGTGGAGCATCCAGACTAAGGTGAACTACGAAGAAAGACCTAGTGATCTACTTCTCAAAAAATCAGCCAGTAGATCACAACCCTGTGAATCACAACAGTCCAGTCCTGTTGTGCATGGGGTCTCCATGAGTCAGGGACTGACTGGATAGCAGCTAACAACAACAATAACGAGCTCCAGGCTTGTTACTTGTATAATACTTCAAGTATGCTGAGTATGCTATAGACCCTACAAGAGAATGCTCACCACTTAAAAACTCACTCACTTTTTTTTATTAATACCATGTCATCCCCCCACCTCCATTGCCCCACACAAATCTCCTGTCCAAATCTTTCCCATGCTTCAGCCCAAATGCAGTATATTTATAAAATTGTCTGGGACTCCTCAATTTAAAAATGCTCTGCCACTGCTCTCAGCCTATAGCATTTTTATACACTGAAATGACAGTTTTCTAGTTAATATTATTATTATATTTATATATTTCATATGTCTCCTATTATATTTTTAAGTTCCTTGATGGTAGACCCATTTATTTTTTAAATTCCTCTTATCACCACACAAGGTATTGGCATCACTCAAGGTATTGCTGTTGTTGTTGTTGTGGGCTATCGGGTCGATTCTGACTCATAGTGACTCCTTGTGACAGAGTAGAAATGCCTCATAGGGTTTTCTTGGCTGTAACCTGCTTTAAAGAAGCAGATTGCCAGGTCTTTCTTCCAGAGAGCCGCTGGGTGAGTTCAAACTGCCAACCTTTCAGTTAGCAGCTGAATGTTTAACTGTTATACCAATTAAATTGCCTTGTAGATAGTAAGCAATCAATAATAGCTTGGGTTAATTACTAATTTTAACTGACTAATTACATCCAGAAATTTATTCCTTCATTTTTAACTGATGCGACTGTCTAATTGTTTTTGTTCTCGAAAAATCACAAGTGAACCTATCACAATATACTATCTTGGTTTAAATCTGCTCTGTCAAATATTTTATACTTTTTTTTTCTCAATTCAATGTAAATTCTATAATGATAGAGAAAAATAAAGCCAGTAAAGAATCTCTTTCCATTGGTATTAAAAATCATTTCCACCTTTTTGGAACAAAACTATGTTTTCCTAAATATGAATATAAACGTTAGGCGAATTACTATGAAATCTGCAATGGTAGAGAGACTGGTTACTTGGAGAAGGCTAGATGGTAACAATAGTTCAGCATCTGAGTCCAAATTTCTTTGGACTGACATAAGAAAAATATTACTCTCTCTCTCTTCATTAAAATGATTTTCTCACATGCAGTACCCTATTTGTCTGCAGTTCATTATCCCTTATTTGTTACCCATTCCCTGTTGTTAATCAAGTATTAAAATCAGGAAAAATATTATCAGAAATCTGTAAATCTGAGTGGAATAACATATGTTTGCAAATCATAAATATGCTGGAAATTCTGAGGATAGCCTTTGTCAAAGTCAGTGGGAATGACTACATTTATATAATACTCAATTTTGCACTGAAAATGGAAATTACTTTTAATGAATGTGTTATGATGTGCAGGTGACAAAAATGCTTTAAATACACTTTATTTTTGCCTCTGGTACTGAGTCGCATGTTCACTTCTCAAGGCAGCAGAGATTAAGTTCGATGACTCATAGAATTGTACTCTTATGATTATATAAACCCCTATAATATCTGTTATAGAGCTGGTGATTTCTAAAATAGCTTCCACTTCTATGCTTTTTTTTTGTATTTGTTTTTAAAAATGTCAGCATTAATTTAGTATCTTAGAAAGGCACATTCATTTTGCATATTCTAATATCTATGTAAAATAATTTATAAAGGCATAACAGAAAAAATGTGCCTATGGGATGAGTGGCATACATTTATTATAAAATAAATTGTATGGATTGTTGATCCTATATGATCTTTTATTCCTGATGTAGTCTTTGTAGACATGCTCAGGATTTTTCATGCCAAAACTATTTATCCTCTCTGTACTGTGGTATCAAAGAAATTCTACTGGGCCTCAGAAAGTTTCAATATCTTTAGTAGTGCTAAAAAAAAAAAGAATAAACTACTTCAAACATCCTTTCCTGGAGTATTTTATTTTATTAGGGGAACATTTTTTTTAACTGTCACTGAAAGGAATGAATACACAATAGGGGAATTTCAGGCATCATTATGAAGCTTCTTAAAAAATAATATTGATCAGCTTTCCAGGAGAGAAAAGGGCTCACAAAAACTCTGCAAAGACATAGCTATTCACACCTATTTTATGTGAAATTAAATATTATAATTATAATTGATAAGAAATTTTAAATAAAAATTATACTTGAATTTTTTAAGTATAAAAAGTGATTTTTTTCTTCTGTTTTTTTCTTTTCTTTCTTTTTTCTTTGGTTTTTGTTTTTAAAAGTGTCAACATTACCCTTTGTGATTATGAAGAAAAATGTAAATTTTGGTTTACTTTGTATAATTAATAGTTTCTAAAATTCCAGAATCAACTGGCTATCTGAAAAACAAAAATATGTCTACTATAATTTTTTCTGTCATAATTTTCAATGCCCTCCACTAGTGTTATTCCTATCCATGTTGTGGGAGAGTCGAAGCCTTTTTCAAAAATATTATCTATAAAGCCCTATACATACAATTGTAGAAGACCAAAATAAAGAACTTAATTTTTCTGTGACATCAAACATGCTTATCTGAGGAATGAAAACGTTGAATTCATTTTTTAAAAAAAAATTTTAGTAAGATGATTTCTCTCTTAAGGTGGTTTGTTTATTCTTGCACACTTGAATAAAAATACCACTTGACATATTTGGGCAAAATAACAATTTTATTGCATTCATTTACCAATAAATGTTGATTATGGCTGCAAATCATATATATTTGAAATGTATTATACTGGGAAGATCCTGAACCTCATTTTTTATAAAAATTTTTATAAAATCACCTCTAGCCTAATTCTTTGTAGACTGATGAAATTAATTGCACCAAGGGAGATATTAACTACCTATTTGGATATTTGGATATGCATAGGGAGAGAGACCCTTTAAGACTATAAACAATGTAAAACTTATTTTTATAAAACTTTCTGACTTAGAGGTATAATCAACACACTGTGCCCAAAATTGACTTGTCAATTGATCAGTCCAGATGGAATTGGTTTAAGCATAACCTTTTTGGTGATACAAATTTATCATTGATTCATGCATGACATCCTTGATTTTTAATATAGATAAATAAATTGTGGTATACTTAAGAAGAATACTGTAACTGGAGGTCCTCCTACTGACATACAAGGAATCCTAGATAAAGTACAAAGTATACTTTTTTATTGTTGTAAAAATGTGTATAACACAACATTTGCCAATTCAACATTTTTTAAGTGTACAATTTAGTACTATCAATTACATGAACCATGTTATGCAACGATCACCCATAATCGTTGCAAAATTTCCTATCACCATAAACAAAAACTCACTGCTTCCCAAACAATAACAAAGTACATTTTTAATGCATTGCTGAATGGCAACAAAGTAAGTGAAATTGTCAAAGTAAAAGAGGAAAACAATAATGAATTGAAAACCAAAACTGTGAACGATAAATCAAGCCAATTTAGCTTGAGAGTGGAGCAAAATATGGCCAAATATTGGAAAGAGCCTAGAACACTTGCAAAAAAGGGGAGCTGAGTTTGAGACTTCCGTGTCAAATCAAAGAGCCTCAAAAATGACTAAATTGACATGGATTTATGTCTCTGGCAGTAAGCATTCCAAATTTATGACTTCAAGATGCCCACTATTAAGTTCAACCAAATATAACCCCATTTTAAAATGGTCAAAGACAAGGAAATAAACCATCATGAAGGTTACCAGAAACTGTAAACAGAGATTTAGATTTCTAAGGAATTCAGACATCAGAATTATCAAGTACAGAATATAAAATAACAGCATATAAAACATTTATAGAAATAA